CTGGCCAATTTAACTTTGGGTTTTGGACACGAGAGGCAGGAGTTGGGGAAGGAAATAGCAAATATCATGCATCTGTTCTACAACTTGGTTTTATGGAAAAGAAGAGGGTAGGCCCTGTTAGCAGACCCGTAATCCATATTATTATTTTTTTATTTCTATAGTATCATAATTGTGTAGGTCACGGGCCAAATAAACATAGAAGATGTGTCCCTGCCCAACCAACTTACAAGGCCTTCTCCCCTGAAAACATTGCTGAAATGTGGAATTCTGATTTTATGTAAATTACATGACCGCCTGCCTTTAACACATAATTCTCTGGTAAGTGCCACAATAGAGTAGTCTGAGCTACATGCAGGCATTGTTGGCAGTGTGCTCTGGTGTTGGCTTGTGCCTGTGCACATAGTGGACATCAGGGGTTTCCCTTTAAAAAGTTCATGGGTTTGTCTTGTTTCTGTCTCCACTATACTCGTTAATTGTTTGTTAATAGTTTTGGTGTTAATGATATGTAGACATTTAGGCCTTTTCTACATTACGAAATTAGGTCGAATTTATAGAAGTCGGTTTTGTAGAAAGCGTTTTTATACAGTCAATAGTGTGAGTCCCCACACAAATGCTCTAAGTGCATGTAGTCAGTGGAGGTGTCCACAGTACCGAGGCAACCGTCGACTTCCAGAGCGCTGCACTGTGGGTAGCTATCCCACAGTTTCTGCAGTCTCCGCCGCCCATTTGAATTCTGGGTAGAAATCCCAGTGCTTGATGGGGCTAAAACATTGTCGTGGGTGATTCTGGGTACATATCGTCAGGCCCGCCTTCCCTCCCTCCCTCCGTGAAAGCAAGGGCAGACAATTGTTTTGCACCTTTTTTCTTGAGTTACCTGTGCAGACGCCATACCACGGCAAGCATGGAGCCTGCTCAGCTCACGGTCACTGTACGTCTCCTGGGTGCTGGCAGACGCGGTACTGCATTGCTACACAGCAACAGTTTATTGCCTTTTGGCAGCAGACAGTGCAATATGACTGGTAGCCATCGTCGACGTAGACCAGGGTGCTCTTTTAACCGACCTCGATGAGGTCGGGGCGCCTGGGCAAACATGGGAGTGACTCAGCCAGGTCATTTCCCTTTTAAGTTTCGTTTCATGGCGATTCAGTTCTACCAGCAGTGCACTGTCTTTTAATCTGCAGCCAGCAGAAGACGATGGCCAGCAGTCATACTGCACCATCTTCTGCCAAGCCCCCAGGTGATGACGATGGCTAGCGGTCAAGAAATAGACCGGATTTGTTTTGTATTCATTTTCTCCTCGCTCCCTCCGTGAAATCAACAGCCTGCTAAACCCATTTTTGAGTTCTATCCTTGAGGTTTTGACTTCTATCCTAGAGGAGGCCATTTTGTTTCTCGCAAAGCCACCCCCTTTGTTGATTTTAATTCCCTGTAAGCCAACCCTGTAAGCCATGTTGTCAGTCATCCCTCCCTCACGCCCTTTTCCCTGGATTGCCTGAGCAGGAGCAGACGCCATAGCACAGCAAGCATTGAGTCCGTTCAGCTCACCCCAGCAGTTATGACCATTGTAAACACCTCGCGCATTATCGTGCAGCGTATGCAGAACCAGCACCTGAAAAACCAGGCGAGGAGGCAACGGCAGCATGGTGATGAGGCCCTGAACACACTTTTCTCTAAAACCGCGTTCCCCCGCAATGTGGAGATCATGGTGTTCTTGGGGCAGGCTCATGCTGTGGAATGCTGATTCTGGACCTGGGAAACAAGCACAGAGTGGTGGGACCACGTAGCGTTGCAGGTTTGGGATGATTCCCAGTGGCTCCGAAACTTTTGCATGCATAAGTGCACTTTCATGGAACTTTGTGACTTGCTTTCCCCTGCCCTGAAGCGCAAGAATACCAAGATGAGAGCAGCCCTCACAGTTCACAAGCGAGTGGCAATAGCCCTGTGGAAGCTTGCAACACCAGACAGCTACCAGTCAGTCGGGAATCAATTTGGAGTGGGCAAATCTACGGTGGGGGTTGCTGTGATGCAAGTAGCCAACACAATCACTGAGCTGCTGCTATCAAAGGTAGTGACTCTGGGAAATGTGCAGGTCATACTAGATGGCTTTGCTGCAATGGGATTCCCTAACTGTGGTGGGGCTATAGACAGAACGCATATCCCTATGTTGGGACTGGACCACCAGGGCAGCCAGTACATAAACTGCAAGGGGTACTTTTCAGTGGTGCTGCAAGCACTGGTGGATCACAAGGGATGTTTCACCAACATCAACGTGGGATGGCCAGGAAAGGTTCATGACGCTCGCGTCTTCAGGAACTCTGGTCTGTTTAAACAGCTGCAGGAAGGGATTTACTTCCCAGACCAGAAAATAACTGTTGGGGATGTTGAAATACCTATAGTGATCCTTGGGGACCCAGCCTACCCCTTAATGCCATGGCTCATGAAGCCGTACACAGGCACCCTGGACAGTAGTCAGGAGCTGTTCAACTATAGGCTGAGCAAGCGCAGAATGGTGGTAGAGTGTGCATTTGGACGTTTAAAGGGTCGCTGGCGCAGTTTACTGACTCGCTCAGACCTCAGTGAAACCAATATTCCCACTGTTATTGCTGCTTGTTGTGTGCTCCACAATCTTTGTGAGAGTAAGGGGGAAGACGTTTATGGTGGGGTAGGAGGTTGATGCAAATCGCCTGGCCGCTGAATACACACAGCCAGACACCAGGGCGGATAGAAGAACACAGCAGGAAGTGGTGCGCATCAGAGAAGCTTTGCAAACCAGTTTCATGACTGGCCAGGGTACTGTGTGACACTTCTGTTTGTTTCTCCTTGATGAAAACCCGCCCCCTTGGTTGCCTCTAAATTCCCTGTAAGCCACCCGCCCTCCCGCCTTTGATCACAGCTTGCTTGCAAAGGAAATGAAGTCATTATCGTTTAAAAAACATGTATCCTTTATTAATTGATTATAAAAATAGGGAGATACCCCACCCAGGCTAACTTGTGAGTTATGGGAAGTGGGTAGGAGGGAAGGAAAAGGCCACTTTTAAACTTGTTGAATGCCAGCCTTCTGTTGCTTGGGTTGTCCACTGGGGTGGAGTGGTTGGGTGTGTTCTTGGGCATCTGGGTGGGGAGACTATGAAACCTGGGGAGGAGGGAGGGCGGTTAAGCAGGGGCTGCAGCGGCAGTCTGTGATCCTGCTGCCATTCGTGAACCTCCACCTAACACCAGGGGCATGTCCGTTTGATCCCGCAGTATCCCCAGTGTTTCCTCATGCCTCCTCTCATCTTTCTGCCGCCACCTCTCCTCACATTCATCGGCCACCATCCTGTACTCTGCTATTGTGTCTCTCCACACAGCTCTGTCACTGCTGGATGACTGCATGAGCTCAGAGAATCATAGAATCATAGAATATCAGGGTTGGAAGGGACCCCAGAAGGTCATCTAGTCCAACCCCCTGCTCGAAGCAGGACCAATTCCCAGTTAAATCATCCCAGCCAGGGCTTTGTCAAGCCTGACCTTAAAAACCTCTAAGGAAGGAGATTCTACCACCTCCCTAGGTAACGCATTCCAGTGTTTCACCACCCTCTTAGTGAAAAAGTTTTTCCTAATATCCAATCTAAACCTCCCCCACTGCAACTTGAGACCATTACTCCTCGTTCTGTCATCTGCTACCATTGAGAACAGTCTAGAGCCATCCTCTTTGGAACCCCCTTTCAGGTAGTTGAAAGCAGCTATCAAATCCCCCCTCATTCTTCTCTTCTGCAGGCTAAACAATCCCAGCTCCCTTAGCCTCTCCGCATAAGTCATGTGTTCCAGACCCCTAATCATTTTTGTTGCCCTTCGCTGGACTCTCTCCAATTTATCCTTCTTGTAGTGTGGGGCCCAAAACTGGACACAGTACTATCACGTCCCTCGATCTGCTCGCTATGCCCCTACTTATACATCCCAAAATGCCATTGGCCTTCTTGGCAACAAGGGCACACTGCTGACTCATATCCAGCTTCTTGTCCACTGTCACCCCTAGGTCTTTTTCCGCAGAACTGCTGCCTAGCCATTCGGTCCCTAGTCTGTAGCTGTGCATTGGGTTCTTCCATCCTAAGTGCAGGACCCTGCACTTATCCTTATTGAACCTCATCAGATTTCTTTTGGCCCAATCCTCCAATTTGTCTAGGTCCTTCTGTATCCTATCCCTCCCCTCCAGCGTATCTACCACTCCTCCCAGTTTAGTATCATCCGCAAATTTGCTGAGAGTGCAATCCACACCATCCTCCAGATCATTTATGAAGATATTGAACAAAACCGGCCCCAGGACCGACCCTTGGGGCACTCCTGAGAGAACATTTCAGCACGCCTGTGGTTTTTTTGCACCTTATCTGAGATAGCCTCTGGGATGGAGGAGGGAGGCTTGAAACATTTGCAGCTGCTGGAGGAAAAAAAGGGAGTGAAGTATTTAAAAAGATACATTTTACAGAACAATGGCTATACTCTTTCATGGTGAACAACACTATTCACGTTACATAGCACATGAGATTTTGGTACAAGGTTGCATTTTGCATCTTATATTGAGTGCCTGCGGCTTTGGTGTTAGAGATCACACATGCAGTGCCAGGCAACGGAATTCAGCTTGCAGGTGGCCATGGTAAGCCATAGTCTTTCGGCTTCTGCAACCTTCATAACAGCAGCCCCCTCCTTTCCCATACCAAGCAAAGCCCGTTGAGCTGGCCATTTACTGCTGCAGTTTTCCTGTTAACGTGCAGCAGCAGAAACCAAACTAACCCCCTCCCCCAATCCAATTTTCTGGGATGATCGCTTTTCCCCTCCCCCCACCGCATGGCTGGTATCAGGGAAGATCCCTGCTAGCCAAACGCGAACAGCTCAGCGCCAATGGCCCCCTCCTCCCACAGCGTGGCTAACTGCGGGGAGGATTTCTTTTCAGGCACAGGCAAACAGCCCAGTAGGAACGTGCACCTCTGAATGTCCCCTTAATCAAGTTCCCCTATTTCAACCAGGTTACCATGAATGATATCACTCTCCTGAGGATAATGCAGAGATAAAGAACGGATGTTGCTTGAATGCAGCAAACACCGGGACCATACGCTACCAGGCTTTGTCATGCAATGATACCAGATTACTTGCTACTAGCATGGCGTGGTAAAGTGTCCTACCATGGAGGATGGACTAAGGCTGCTCTCCCCAGAAACCTTCTGCAAAGGCTTTTAGAGTACCTCCGGGAGAGCTTCATGGAGATGTCCCTGGAAGATATCCGCTCCATCCCCAGGCACATTAACAGACTTTTCCAGTAGCAGTACTGGCCACGAATGCATCCCAAGTCCTCAGGGCTACTTAATCATTAAAAAATGCTTGCTTTTATAACATGTATTATATTTAAAAAGGTACACTCACCAGAGGTCCCTTCTCCGGCTTTGTTGGGTTGGGAGGGTATTTCAATCAGGGTTATAAGAAGATCCTGGCTGTTGGGGAGAATGGTGTGCTGTGTGCTGTCCTTAAGCTCATCCTTCTCGTCCTCATCTTCCCCGTCCGCAAAATACTCAGCCATGGCGGAGAGTATTCGATCCTCAGAGTCCACGGACAGGGGTGGGGTAGTGGTGGCGGCCCCCCCTAGAATTGCATGCAGCTCAGCGTAGAAGCGGCATGTCTGGGGCTCTGTCCTGGAGCGTCCGTTTGATTCTTTGGTTTTCTGGTACGCTTGTCTGAGCTCCTTAAGTTTCACGCGGCACTGTGTTGCGTCCCTGATGTAGCCTCTGTCCCTCATGGCCTCTGAGATTTTTTGAAATGTTTTGGCATTTTGTATTTTGGAATGTAGTTCTGATAGCACGGATTCCTCTCCCCATACAGCGATCAGATCCAGTACCTCCCATTTGGTCCATGCTGGAGCTCTTTCTCGATTCTGGGACTGCATGGTCACCTGTGCTGATGAGCTCGCCTGGCCAAACAGGGAATGAGATTCAAAAGTTCCCGGGGCTTTTCCTGTACACCTGGCCAGTGCATCTGAGTTCAGAGTGCTGTCCAGAGCGGTCACAATGGTGCACTGTGGGATAGCTCCCGGAGGCCAATACCTTCGAATTGCGTCCATACTAACCCTAATTTGAAATGGCGATGTCGATTTCAGTGCTAATCCCTCGTTGGGGAGGAGTACAGAAATCAGATTTAAGAGCTCTTTATATCGAGAAAATGGCTTTGTTGTGTGGATGGGTGCAGGGTTAATTCAGATTTAATGCTGCTAAATCCAACATAAACTTGTAGTGTAGACCAGGCCTTAGTTCCAGTTTGTTTGTCCCTTTGCCCTGGAGAAAGCTTTTGAAAGCAGAGCTGTTTTTCCTGAGTGAGTAAGCACTGCCTACACTAATGACCCTTGTGTTTCTCTCCTCTGGTCCTTTCATCTTTCCCGTCTCAAGAGTTAACTAGAAACAAAAGCTGGCAACTCATCCTGGAATGAAGCTGTTATGAGATTTCAGTACAATGTGACCAAATTCAAAGGGAAAGAACTAGGGGAGCTTCCTGTCACACTGTTCTAGGTATCTGGTATCTTTATCCTGGGTTTTTCTTGTCTTCCGTATTAATTTCAAGGGTGCTTATAAATGAAAAAAAAAGTCTGTGTCCTTTTGCTGCTTTGATGTCTTATTTTTCACACACACAAATGTAGATCTTGTCTCTGCTAAACCAGTTTTTTCCTGAAAGACTCTGTGACCAACTGAAGAAACAGTGGGATTATATCACATCAGATAATTTTGGCCTGCTAAACCCAGAGTTGTGAGTTCAGTCCTTGAGGGAGCCATTTAGGGATCTGGGGCAGAAATTGGGGATTGGTCCTGCTTTGAGCAGGGGGTTGGACTAGATGACCTCCTGAGGTCCCGTCCAACCCTGATACTCTATGATTCTAACAAACAACTGAAACTTGATTAATCTACTCAAACTTGTTACAACTCTTTGGTTCAGCTTTTTGGCCCTGTTAAGGCTGCTTTGCAATGCTCCAGTGACAATGCAGTTTTAAATGGATGGTTAGTTGAACTGGTTGGGTTGGCATAGCAGTTCTTATCTACCTTCTTTCACACCCTGATGTAAGGAGAGCAAATCCAACAGCAGCTATGTCCACCTCATGATACCCCAGTTGCCATATGGGCCCTTAAAGGGCCACTGTCCCTTGTGTAATTTAGAGAACCCTTGAGGCTGCCCTTAAATTGTGCCTCAGGACTTGACCCTGTGTTTTGCAGTGCCAGGATCAGGGTACTGTAAAGGTGGCTTAAATTGAGGTTTGTGAACGCAAACACCCTCATTGAAGTGTGCAGTGGTGATTACATATGCAAGTCAAGTACGAGCAAATGTATGCATTTGACGTTTTGGCCTGGCTGTAGTGTGCTGCTTGTGTAACTGTGATCAGCTTATTGGGGGGTGGGGTGGGGAGGAAATAACACTGGATTTTGCATGTAAATACAAGACTTTAATTTCTACACCCCTAGACACTTCTTGGTCACAGCATGCTGCCCTAAAATTAGACTGTGTCAAATGTGTATGGGTCATACCCCCAACTCTGTTCTATGAGTGGGCACGACCCTGACATGCACAAGAATTCTCAGTTTGTGGTGGTGATATCTTTGGTTTCTTTCTCCAAATGCTTCTGTGGCTGACTGGGAACACGTGATAGGTGTATTGCATGGATTATGGAAATGCTTAGTGTCCTGGATTTGCTTTTCCAGGTCCCCAGAATTGATTTTCCAGCCTCAAATTGATTGTAATGTTTGTCTTTCTCATTCTTAGAGGTCAGACAGGAAGTTTGAAGAAAATACTAATTTACATTTTGTTTTGCTTGACAAAGTTTATCATGGTGCAGTAACTTATTATGCAGATATAGAGGTAGTAGCATAGCACAAAAGTACAGAAATGAAGTAGGCACTGGCAAAAATATTCCATTACTGATTAATTTGTAAAATCTGGGAAAAGGAACCCTCAACACCTTGAGTTTCCCATGCTATTTCTGTGGGATACATAATTCACAATATCACTGGCATTACAAGGAAATTATACTTCATTGAAACCATTCTTTGAAAGTTTTATTAATTGCTAACAAATTGGGATTAAATCACAACCAGACTGTAACTGTAATTAAACACCTATGGGAAAAGCCAATGTTCTGACCAATCTTAACGCAAAGAGTCAATGTATAAAGTCAGTAAAACACTGAAGCAAATACAACCCCCATTCCCCTTAGGAATATTGTAATATTATCATTGTTTAACTCTGTCACTCTCAATTCACCTGAGGCAGGAGAGAATCCCACAGGATGTACTTTATGTTGTTGCATTTGTTCTAGGACAAGAGTTGCAGAGTAGAGAGGCGAAAAAGAAACACAAATAGAGATATTTGAGATTAGACAAGGAAATATTGTGGAAGCAAGAGAGTCATCCTGTTGTTGTAATGCAGAGAGATGAGCTATTTTCCTGCATTGCACTTCACAAGGACATTCAGAATGAAAATGTACTAATTTACAGTCATCACTATGATTGTGCAGGGAAAAATGCTTTTTAATGCTAGTGTAGAAATAGGGGATTGGCTCTGTGATCAGAGACATTACAACTATTGCAACTGACCGAGGGCCACATCGGTGGTCTCAAATCCCTTAACATAGGCAAACTTGTCACAAGAGAAGTCCACCTGCAGCTGCATCGCACCACTTCTGTGGGGTGTGAATTCTAAGTAAATCTTTGATCGCTCCTTGGGTCCCAGTGGTGCCACACTAAAACAGAGAAAACATCAGTGAGTTCAGGCTCAGATAGGAAACCCTCCTATTATGTATCCCAGAGAGGCCCAAGGAACAAGCTAAAGTGGAAAGGAAAAGCAAAGCCACCTACAACTGTCACACCAAAGAGACGATTTGAAGTATCTGAGGGGCAGCCCTGTTTCCTGGGAATTAGTTGGGACTCAAGGCTCCTGTATGGATCAGGAAGCAATAAGAAATGCTAGATTTATAAAGGGAAAGAGATGAGAGGGCGGAGAGTGCTACTGCATATCTCCATATTTAGATGCAATACAGAGCTGTCAACTGTCCAGGTTTGAGACTGATGATTTGGGTCCTCAAAATGGGCAAAAACTCATATTTTAAAGAGCCCCTCCAGTTGTCAGGCACCTGCGTTACTGACACCCCATTATCATCGCCTAGGGCTGACGTGTGGTGGGCTTTGTTTTTTTCTTTCCCCTGAACTGAGCTGATAATTCAGAGGCAATAGCTTCCAGGGACCCTCTGTGGAATTTCATTTTGCAGACCCCTATGGATTAGTAAGGGGACTTTTATAGTTCCCACCGGAAGCATAAGCCAGACCAGCTCATGGTAAAACATGCTGTTAGACCCAGTATGGAATATTGAACATTGTGGATTCCTCACTGAAGAGCTCAAAAAGACAATGCCCGGCAAAACAATAATTAACGGGGCATTCTGCAAAGGCACGTTTTTCCCCAGCTTCCCATTTACCAATATTTATTTATTTTAAGGGAAGCCAAAGCAACCCTGCTTGCTTATGCTGGGAGGAAGAAAGCTATGGCAGGCTTTTATCTATCTACTGTATTTTGGACTCATCACTGTACTATCTGAGTAGCTCCCACATATTTAAAAGCAGAACTAAAAAGCCCTGCTCTAGGTGCCTCGCTGAAGACTCGCCAACCTGTTCCACCACACTTCCTCTTCAATTTTTTTAAACAAAAAGTCAAGAATAACAAATAAATTTCACCTGAAAATGGGAAATCTCCTAAAGTTTTACTTCTGTTTCGTGTGTTGCACTAAGGATTCCTGATGGACTGAAAACCTCAAAGTCACATGTTCAAGACCTGATGGCACACTGAGAACACATCCAGCAGATCTGGGCATTGTTCTTCATACATATTTCCTAAGACTTGCAGTTTCATACTTAGTTTAAAATGCATGTTGAAGATGGAATGTAAATGTTCTAAGTCTTGCTCACCAAGATACCAAGGTCAGGACTCTGTCAGTCTTTTATCAAAAGTGATAGACAGGTGACGCCCCTTTTACTTACTCTATCTTGACCTCTTGATTCATCAGTTTCACCAGCACCACACAGTCCTTCACTGGCTCTGGGAGAGGATTGGCATATGAGATCTCTACAGTAACAGGCTTGTGCACCACAACCTGTGCAGGAATCTAAATGGGGGACAAACATTTCTGATGATTCACAGTTCTTATGCTCTCCCCTCCCCCCCTTGCAGGACATTTACTTGTGAACAGTCAACGGTGTTAACCTTTTCAGGAGGTTCAGACACTCTCCCAGGAATGGAGTGGCAGACATAATGCAGGTGTGGGCAGAGCATGTTTCTCCTTCAGGGGATGGATGGGCTATAGGTAGAACTATGGAATTTAACTTCTGGTTGATGTGCATCTCCCCTTTCCTGCCTTTTCTTGGTGCTGAAGCTGGGCTGGTATTAGCTGTGCAGTTGAGTGGAGGCAGGGAAATGTATATATTTTAAAAGATTTGAGGCTCAGATTTACTCAAACATGTCTTTTTAAATCAGTTTGTCCTTTAGTTTGCTGCCTGATTTTCTGTAGTACAATGAGCACTGAACATGCTCTTGATAGTGATTAAAGATGCAAAACAGTATAAATCAGCCTTCATGTTAGTGTGAATTCAGGCTCCAAGTCTATTTCAGGACAGGGCAATGTCATTTGAGAGCAGCCAGAAAGCTACAATAATTAAAGTAAGAATGAAAAATTTATAACTAATCCAAAACAAATGATCTGATGGCACTTGACTTGGAAGGTGACTTGGTAGGGAAAGTGCCTGGATACATTTTTACTACAGAAGAGAAAACACAAGTGGTAAATAAACACAGAGAGTCAGGGCAAAGTTTCAAAAGTGGCCTCTGATCTTTTCATTCCCAGCTTGACATCTTAAGGTTTCTCAAGCTGGGCAACAAGAACTCAGTAGCCACTTTTGGAAAACTTGGTTTGGATTTTCACACTTGATCCTAGAATTCCCATAAGAACATAAGAATGGCCATACTGGGTCAGACCAAAGGTCCATCTAGCCCAGTATCCTGTTTTCTGACAGTGGCCAATGCCAGGTGCCCCAAAGGGAATGAACAGAACAGGTAATCATCAAGTGATCCATCCCCTGTCACCTGTTCCCAGCTTCTGGCAAACAGCCCATCTTCTGGGCTGAGCTCTAGCCACAGGACTCTGTGAGAACTCTTCCATTTGCTTTCCATTATGGGCAGCAGGCAGACAGCTCTTTACCTTGATGAAGATGGTTGGAGACTCTAAAGTGATGGTCTTCTCCACCAACATCTTTGCCTCCTGTGTGTGCATGACTTCACACAAGGCAGTCACTAAGATCTTCTTATCATCAGTCAGGGACTTTTCATACTGGGCATAAGAGATCTTTAACTGAATCTGTTTCTCTGAAATGCAAACATATTTGGAAAGTATCAGACTCCAGTAATTTCACAGATGCCCCGGGTGACTTTGTTTTTAGTCTTGTCTTCTCTGTAGTATGTGTTTACAGGATGGCACAGACAGAGGATGCTTGGTTCCATGTGAATCTCTTGCCTGCAAGCCCCTGCTCTGCATCACTCCTTGCTGGCTGCTGCAGACAGTTCTGCTAT